TCTGGCTAATTCCTGCTGAGAAGGGTTGAAGAAGGGGGAGGGGGGACTTGGGAGGCGAGGGAGGAAGGTTTGCTTAGTCTAATATGACAGATAAGAGACCATAAACCCAGGCGCTGAAGACAGTAATTTCTTCTGTTGAGAAGGTGAGGAAATGTCCCTTGGAGCCGAAGATCACTGAGGCCCTCAAATATGTCTTCCATTTGTTGGATGTTAGGGAGCAACCATCTGTCCTCCTGGAGGGTCTGGAGGAAAAATAGTGTCCTCACCATCTGGTAGGAGCAGGTACTCTTGGAGGAGAAGTTGATTGATGGACACCTGAGACACCTCGTGAATTTGTTCCTGTTTTGTTGATGTAGTAACAGCATTCTTTGTTGAGAAACATGCAGGTGCTGCCTTTTTCTGCAGTGAGGAGAGCTACCTTGGGCTATGGAGGTGATTTGGCATTGTAGGGAGGTCAGGGCCTCTGCTGAAGCCTCGACAGCTGCCTGGAGTTTTGGGGATAGATCTCTAGTGGAGTCTACAGCATGGATAAGAGCCCCTGTGCCTAGTCCCATGGCCACTAGAGAGGAGGCTAGGGAGACCCCGATGACTAAGGGGAGAAAGACTGCACACTTTTGGTTTTCTGGGGGGTTAATTAGGGCAATAATTTCTGCTTGGCTGTAACCGGTAAGTTGAGGGACCAGTGAAACAGGTAGGCAGAGATATCTTCTGGGGTTAGAGAGAAGAAAGAAGCTAAGAATAATTTCAGGTTATGTACACTAGGGTGGAACAAAGAGTGTAAGTAAAAGTTGTTGTCTTCATGGATTCTTTGAGTGGTTCTCTGAAAGGGTTGAGGGGGCTGTGACCATAACCAGTGGTGGATCGGAAGACATGGCTGCTTGCTTGGCAGCCTGATCTGCCCTAGAATTACCTATGGTGATGGGAGAGGAGTCAGATTGATGTGACCTGCAATGGACTATGCCTATTTTGTAAGGCAAAAGTGATGCTTGTACAAGTCTAGTGATAAACTTTGAATTGGTAATTGTGACTCCTTTCATGTTTAGAAGGCCCCTCTCCTTCCAAATTGCCACATATGACAAAAGCATGTGGAACACATATTTAGAATCAGTGTACAATGTAAGGGATTGATCCGTGGATAGCTTACAAGCCCAGGTGATCGCCACCAGTTCTGCCTGTTGGTTGGTTGTGTTGGGTGGCAAAGCTCTGGCCTCAATGATACTAGTGGAGGATACGATGGCATATCCCGCCCTTCATATTCCATTTATTAAGGAAGAGCTACTATCTGTAAACCAGACATTTGTGGAGTTGTCTAGTGGCCCTTCTGAGATGTGAGGCGGGCAAGGGAGGAGGATTTCTAAAGCCTTGATACATTGATGGAAGGGAGTTTCTTCAGAAACAGGCAAAAGGGTGGCAGGGTTTAAAGGGGCACAAGTCTGGAAAGTTATAGAAGGATCATGGATGAAGGAAACGAGGAGAGATAGGATCCGGCAGGGTGGGAGGGTTTGTAACCCTTTATAAGTCAAAAGATCCTTTAATTGATGAGGTGAGAATACACTGGTGGGGCTGCCAAAAGTGAGTTTCTTTGCTTCTTGAAGAAGCACAGGAGCAGCCACCAATGCCCTGAAGCAAGGGGCCCAACCACGAACAGTGGGATCAAGGTTTTTTTGACAAATAGGCCACTGGGGTGAAAGAGGGCCCCCTCTGGTGTCCTAACACACCCAACCCAAAGCCCTGTTCTTCTGCACATATAGAACAAAGGGCCGTTGTAAGTCAGGTAAATGTAAAGCTGGGGCTCTAAAGAGAGCCTGCTTGAGGTTTTCGAAAGGGGTTTTGATGGATTTATCTAGAGGTTCCTTTGAGTCGCCCCGGGATGAGTCATATAAAGGTTTGGCAAGAAGGGAGTAGTTTGGAACCCAAGCTCGTCGGTACCCCACAAGACCCCAAAATAATAACATTTCATCTTTAAATTTTGGAACAGGCAAGTCTCAAAGGTGTTGTTTTCAGTCTACTGTTATGACCTTGGAGTCGTGTGAGATCTGAACTCCCAGGTATTTGACTGAGGGTTTAAAGGCTTGGACCTTTTGGGGAGAAACCCTGTATCCTTTGTCTGAGTTGAAGTATCCTAAACTTAGGGATTTACTTTGGATAGTGGCGGGGGTAGATTTGGTTCTTCTGGAGGTTGGGCCACTCTGGCGACCAGTAAGAGCAATGAAGGGGTATGGCGGAAAAAGAGGTAGGCCTGGGTCCTGGCCAATATGTCTTGCCCTAACAAGGGGGTTGGGCATTGTGGCATCACAAGAAACCGATGAGCAAAGGAATGGTCCCCGCAGCAAGTTATTCAGGGAGTTTTTAGTGGAAAAACGGTTTTGCCTCCTACCCCAACAATGGGCAGTGTGGAAGAGGAGGTAGGTCCCCAAAACTCCGTTAATACTGAGAAAGTGGCGCCGGTATCAAGGAGGAAAGAGATGGGGCAGCCCTCAACTGCAAGATGTACCCTGGACTCCCTGGTGGTGGTGAGGGCTGTCATAGGTAGAGGGTGCCCTGGCCCAGTCAGTCATCCGGCGCCAGTCCTAGAAGGCTGGGTGTGGGGTTCGAGATAGGTCCAGTCTCCCTGCGGAGGCTGGGGCAATCCACTCCCCAGTGACCTGGAGTGTGGCATTTCAGACATGGCCTTGGTTGGGGCCTGATCATGCCCAATGTCCTTCCTTACCACACTTGAAGTAGGGACCCAGGGGTCCCTTTGGTGTGGTTGGGCCCCTTGAAAAGGCAGTCGGTGGTGAGGGCGTGGGCCCCTTTAAGGCCTGTGCCAGTAGTTGCTACTTTTGGCATTTGGCCTTATCGTCTCAGCCATTATGAACCTTGAATGCTGCAGCCAGTACTTCATTTTGAGGAGTGAGTGGTCCCCTTTCCAGTTTCTTTAATTTGCCCTTTATGTCAGGGGAACTGTGGTTAAAGAAATAGGTCATGAAAAGTTGTCTTCCCTCTGGGGTCTCTGGGTCTATGTTAGTTTATTGTAAAATAGCCTTAGTGAGGCGATCTAAGAAAGAAGAAGAATTTTCATTTTTATCTTGTATTATTCTTGGATTTTTTCATAATTAACTGGTTTTTGTGTGGCCCTTTTAAGACCGCCACTATGCAAATAAGAAACTGATCACGGAGGGCCAATCTGGGGGTGGGGGGGGCTATAATCCCAATGAGAGTCAGTTTCTGGGACAGCTTGTGGCCCGATTGGGTGAGCGGGCGTGGTTTGGTGGACTTCATCTCCCTATGCTCTGGCCTCTAGCCAGACTCGTCTACATTCTTCTGGCAATAAAGAATTTGTGAGGATAGTGTGAGCATCATGGAAAGTTAAGCTATAGGCCTGGCAAAGATATTGAAATTCCGTCGTGTAGACAACTGGGTTAGTTGTATAGGAACCCAAGCGTTTCTCCATTTGGGAAAGATCAGTCATGGAAAAAGGGACATGGACTCTAACGATACCCTCCGCTTCTGCCACCTCTCGGAGAGGAGCTAAAAGCGGAGGTTGGGCTGGAAGGGTGGGCTGGGTTTCGTGGGCTCAGGATCATGTATGAGGGGGGCTGGAAGGATGTGGTGGTGTGGGAGGGGCAGAAGGGGTGGGAAGAGCCCATGGCAGTTGGAGTTGGCGGGGAGCACATCCCCAATATGGGTGGGGGCTCATCTGCTGGGTCAAAGTCAGGGAGCTAAATATCTGGAGTCAGACCCAAAGTGTGAAGATTAGTCAGGAGACATTTTGGAGGAGAGTCGGCCGGGAGAGACGAGGCACTCCCCATGAGAATGTAGGAGCAAGTACCGGACCCAAAGGGGCGTCCCTGCTTTGGTTGGGGTATTGAGAGGTCGCAAACCACCGAAAGTGGTCATCACCAGTTTCTGGTGGTTGAGGGACCTTAGAGGGTCATAGAGCTTTGGGGTGCCTGGCGCCGGGGCTTGCGAGTGCCTGGAGGGCAGAAACGAGAAACCCCGCAGCGAATGAGAAGGCAGGGAAAGGGCGGACCCTGCTTAACCCAGCCGAGTCCTGAAGAGAGGGAGAGAGAGAGAAATGAAAGTGGTAATCCGAAGACCCACCAATCACAAGGCCGGTGTTGGATGTGCTGTTGGATGTGCCGGTGGCAATCGGAAAGAAGGGCCAGGCTGAGTGTCATCACTGGTGTGGGCTCCAGGCCATGGGCAGAGAAACGGATGGGGTCCCTCTAGGGGTGGGGAAAGCCAGCTGAGTCTAGGCACCAATTAAAGGAAAAACCCCAGCCCCGAGCGCAAAATAAGACACACCAGGAGACGCCGAAATAAGATACAACCAAAGTGTATTAGGCAGGCAAAATGAACAAGCGAGCTACCCTCTCCGAAGTGGGAGCAGCAGCCCCGAGAAGCGGGCTGGGCCTTTTATATCCAGTTGGGCTGAGCTGGCCTGTTCCTATTGGCTAAGAAGGAAGGGGCCGGAAGTGGGCAGGGTTTAAGCTGAGCTGGGACTCTCTCATAGGCGGGCAAAATTGCGCATGTGGGCAGGTGATGTGGCAGCTGGGGGATTTCTCTGGGTGGGGGGTTTCCGGGAAACTTTCTCAGGCGCTGTTTTGTGCATCATGGTCTTTAACGCCATTTTACTTTTCTGGCGGAGGGTATATTAGCCAACAATAGCCATTCATTTTATTTGAAACTAAATATGTTTAGAATCCTAAAGAATGGTTCATATTATAAATAGTTTTTAGCCTCTGTCACACCAAGAACTTCAGAAGTGTCTCAAAAACACGATCTGGTATCTACCATTGTACTGCTATTAAGAAACACCTTGTGTGGGTTCTTGCTTATGCAAAGGATATTCACGTCATGGAGATGAACATTTTTATTAAATAAAGGCTGAGTCTTGGTTTTGGTTCAAAGTGAACCAACAATATGAACTCATAAAATACCTCACAATAAAGCCAGAAATCAATACGGCCCCTGTAAACCATTATCTTAATTTTACTGATAATTTTTTCTCTTTTCAGGTGATGTTCTGATTAGTGTTGGTCATGCCAATGTGTTAGGATATACTCTTCGAGAATTTTTAAAGCTTTTGCAACATATCACCATGGGCACTGTGCTACAAATCAAGGTCTACCGAGATTTTATTGACATACCCAAAGAATGGCAAGAAATATATGATTTAATTCCCGAGACCAAATTCCCAGTAACACAGTAAGTATGGGTAGTTCACTTAGGAACTCTTTGTCTTTTGTCTTTTTTCCGTGTCTGGCAACGGACCGCAACCCTCAGTGTTGCCCCCGTAC